AAGAAGGACATGGAGCTCCTGGAGAGAGTCCAGAGGAGGCCACAGAGATGATCCAAGGGCTGGAGCAGCTCTGCTCTGGAGCCAGGCTGGGAGAGTTGGGGTGTTCAGCCGGGAGAAGAGAAGGCTCCAGGGAGACCTTAGAGCAGCTTCCAGGGCCTGAAGGGGCTCCAGGAAAGCTGGGGAGGGACTTGGGACAAGGGCAGGGAGGGATGGGACAAGGAGGAAGGGGTTTTAACTAGACAAGGGAAGATTTAGATTAGATATTAGGAAGAAATTCTTCTGTGCACTGGAGGAAGGCTGGACCAGATGACCTTTAAAGGTCCCTTCCAACCCCCCACGTTTGATTCTGTCATTCCCCAGGTGAGCCCTGAGGTTCTAGCAAACCCAACAGAAAAGAACTGGCCTCCCAGTTGGCTTGAGAATCAGACCAGTGCCCTGCCCTGCAGGTCTAGCAGGTGATTTACTGGCAATTCTTCATCCAAACACATTTACAGGAGCTTTCACAAGAGCCTGTGCTCCTCCTAATATGAGGGGATTAATTTCCCTGTTCCAGGGGCTATAACAAAAGCTGCATCATTATTAACAGAGGTAGTTGAAGCTTTAGTTTAATGCCCCTAATTCTTTTCAACGACTTCCCTAATAACTTGCTGATTAATTGTTATTACAGAAGCTGTGCTTTGGTAATGAGTGACTTCTGTTCTCTGTCCTGGAGAGTTTCAAGTGTAGATCTGAGGTGCAGTCATCCAGAGTTATGGCCTAGGTGGGAAGGGAAAGGAGTGTCAGCCTTGCAGGCTGAGTTTTGAGGCTGTTCTTTAGTGGAGAATGGAAGGCCCTGGAGTTGAATGTGGGTTTGATTTTTGCTGCATTACAAGTGGTGCTTCTGGCCCAGCCAGGCTGAGCATCACCCAGCAGCTTGGGTGGCTGTTCTGGCCAAGCCCAAGGGCACATCAGGAGGGTCACAAGTGGGGCAGAAGGGAATGAGGGATCTGCCTAAGCTTGCAGACCCAGCAGCTGGTCCCTGGGCCCTTGATTCTTGACCTGTGCAATTTAAACTTCTCTTTGAGCTGATGCAACTTCTGTTTTCTGGCCTGAGCAACCCCAGGCTTTGGCCCATTCTGCAGGTGCCAAAATTCCCATGTCCATTCTGCAGCTCATAGCACTTTGCCTCCTTCCTCTGGATTCCCTTCTCTGGAGCATCAAGAGCAACCTTTCTGCTCTCACCTTGAGTACATTTTTCAGCCCATCCCAACCTTTCCCTGGTCAGTCCTGAGCTCAGCTTTTGTATCTGGTCCCTTCATGGTGACATTCCTGCCTGTTACCCATTTATCTAAAGACCTTGAGGGTTTCTGTTGCATGTTGCACTCCAGGGAAGACTTCTGAAGAGCTCCTGGAACCCAATTCAGCATCCTCCTGCTCTTCCTTGCTCAGAACTCTCCCTTGCTGTGGTGTCTACCAGGCAACAGGGCCATGTTTTAACCCCCCCTTCTCCATAAAGGACAA